CCTGCCGCCCTGCTGTCCCCAGCATGGCTCTGGGCAAGGGCAGGGTGAAATTCTTGTTTTTCACTTTGCAGCCTAGTTCTGGGGTGAAATCCTCAGGCTGGCCCTAACTAGGGAAGGCCTTCGCAGAGCCCCAGGGCCGGGGGAGAGATGAAGGCCAGTGTCTGCCTCTCCCAAAAAAAGTCGAAAGTTCAACTGTGCCTAGGGTACAAGAGTGTACAGGCTGAGGCCCCCGGATGGAGCCCTGGAAAGGGCAGGTTACCGTGGAGCTAAGAAGCTAACCTGGCTTCAATAAAAGCCTCATTCAGAGCTGCTAAACCCCTTCCATATGTGGGCTCTCCCGAGAGGGGGAGGGGAAGCAAGTAGGAGCAAAGGGGCCTCATCCGGGTGTCTTGGAACAGGCAGTCAGCCGAGTCTGTGGCTGGCTTGGGAGGAGATGGACAGACTGTGGCCACAGGGCACCTTCAGGGCAGCCTGGCTGGGCCTGCTGTACCTGTTCCAGGGAGAGAGGGCTAGAAAGTCACTGCTCGCCACACTTTACAGTGAGCGAGGCTGCCGGGCCACTGGGAAGATGAGGTGACAGTTTCCTGAGCCTGACCCTGGTCTCTCCTGACCCAGTTGCTGAGCTGGAAGGCAGGATGGAGGCCTGTTCCCCTGCCTGTCCCTGAGCTCAGCAGCCACGTTGTCAGAATCTTAAGTGTCCTGCTGCAGGAAAGCGAGGCAGTCTCTTGGCAGATCCCTTACCCCACTGCCTGCCCTGCTGCGCGTCTCACGCCTGTGGTATGTCCCAATGACAGGCTGGCTTAGTTTCCCGGGGGATCGGCCCTAAGCCTGTGCCTACTTGGGAAGACAAGGGGAAGTCAGTCCAGGACCGTCCCCGTGTCTCCTGGTAATAGGAATTGTACCCACAGCAAACATGGTACCTACCTGGGTCAAGGGTCCTCACAGGCATCCAGACACCAGGCTTTCATTCGGTATCTATGAGCGGGTGGCCTTATTAAGGCTCTGAGTCACGTGACGCCCCTGCACTGCCTCTTAGCACAGCAACTCTAGCATGCTGGATTTACTGCCCTTGTTAAAGAACATTGCACTTTTATAAATCTCTAAAACCAGCTGTAGACTTTGAGGTGGAGGGGTCTGTTCCCTTCCAGAAAAGGGCAAGGATGGGTCTCAGCAGGCCAGAGGCAGAGTATACTAGGAATGGTGGGATGGTGGTAGAAGCCCCAGGGGCAGGAGGTGAGGGGCTTGTGCAGGAGGCTGAGCTCCTCTGGTCTCCAGTGCTGTGGCAGGGATGGGGGGGGTTAGTTTCAGAGGCAGGGTCCTGGAGCCCTGCTGAACACTGTCATCGGGGGTGTGCGTCATCCACGAACCGCTGGGTGCATCCCGGGGCACTGCTTGCTGGAGACTGCTCTGTCCTCTGCCACCCTCCACCGAGACTAGAAGAGGCTGGTGTGACTTTGTTTGTCCCCGGCTGCTCACAGGCAGGCCTCTTACTGAAGATTAAACAGCCCACAAGAGGGCATGTTAGTAGCTGAAGCAGCAGCAGTCATTCCCAGAATTCTGGAGGGCTAGCTGTGCAGTAGAGGACATGGGGCAGAGTGGAATGTGGCCCATCAGTCAGGGGGGCCCGGGCTAGAAGATGGCTCTGTTCACCGATGGAGAATAGGAGTACTCCATGCTTGCTTTGTCCTAAATGCCAGGCACAGGCTAGTGGACAAGAAGTGATGGGGTTACCTGCATGGGCTGCTGAAAGCTGGGCCGGGGGAGGAAGGACTTCCATACCTGAGGACGTTCCCAAAATTCACTCAGTGTCCTTCTCTATCCTCAGAGCTTTAGCCTTCGGAGACCTAAATACGGGGTCATTTCGATCTAGAAAGAATGACAGCTAACTGGGGTTCTAGCAGGGCCTCTGCTTTACTCGGCTCATGGCCTGGTGTACTCTAGACAATAGTCTAAAGGCCTCCGATTCTCTTAGGGACAGGGCGGAATGTGTAGCTGCAGTGGGACGGAAGCTACGTGGAGACAGTTGAGTTGCTGTGCGCATGCAGATTGGCTCTGCTTAATCACTCAGAGCAGATTGGCTCTGCTTAATCACTCCCTCTAAGGTGTTTCGGGACCTGTTTCTCTCTTACCCGGGGGAGCCTCACTGAAGCAATGTTCCACATGGGTCTTCTCTACCCAGCCCCCCCACAAGCCCCATCTGCTTTTCTCCTTCAAATAAATGCTCTGGTATCTTTCACTCAGTGCCTGTTTCTGGGACTCATGGAAGGCACCTGTCTTATGGGACTAATGGTTGTCCCCTCTGACTGACATTCCAGGGGCTGGCTCCTGCACCCTTAGCACTAATCTAATCAGGAAATAGCAGAGTCCACAGTTCCCAGGGGTTATAAATAGTCCCAGCAACTTAGGCAGCATCATTTCTCTGGAAAATGTGCCATGTCCCTCTCGGCTCCCCACCCTCTCTTCTCTGTATTTAAACGACATCCTGAAATAGACTTGGTTTCTCAAGGCTGTGCTGGCCTCCTGGGAGACTGAGCATCATGTACTGAGAAACTGGGCAGGTCTTTTTAAGTGGGTACCCGGGGCACCTGTGGCAGGAACCAAGGATGTGGCAGTGGTGGGAACTCAGAGAAAACAAGACGAGCACTTTACTTACAGCTGTCCTGAGAAAGGCTGTGGACACATAGCAAATGGCACAGGCAGCCGTACACAGGCTGGGGCGCAGAGAGGAGCAAGGACCATAGTCCTGTGGTTCTCTACGAGGGCTTTCAGGAAGAGGGAGCTAGAACAAGACCTTAGCATCAGCAGGAGCTTTACCTGTTTCAAAAGCTCCCAGGAAAACAGACTTTATGTGTGGGAAAACAGAGGAAACAGGAAGTTTGTGCTGGAAGCATCCAGACACCAGACTCCACGTCAAGAAGCCTGGTGTCTCTTTTCTGGGTGAATCACGGTGCCAGCAGCTGCCACTCTGAAGGGCAGGGGCCAGGCGAGACATGTTACATTGTACCCTACAGATGTAGCCAAGAGTACGTCAGGGAGATGTGAATGCATCCGGTGCGCAGTCGCTGGGTCCCGGGCACCGCAGGCTCCGTCCACTGCGTGTCTGTGTCCCCACCGTCAGAATGCGAACAGCTGGAGGGCTTAAACCATACTGGTGGATTATGTTGATTACCTGAGACACTTATACAAAGGGTTTGTCAAAGTGTCAGACTTAACACAGAATGCTCAAACTCACGCAGTCTTGTGAGGTAGGCATGGGTTACCCCTGTGAGGAAGCCAAGACTTGGCGGTGACCCGCCCAAATTCACAAGGTAGAATGGGAGACCCAGGCCAGCCTGACTGCTGATCCCTGCCATTTCCAAAATTGGGCTGTGTTCAGGTGCTCCTGCAGGAGTCTCTCAAGAGGAGGTGCCAGGTCATAGGGTTCTAAAACAGGAAAGGGATGTAAGGTGAATCTGGCTAGGTATCAGGACCATGAAACAGCTGGAGGCTTCTGCCAAGACCTAGAAAGACAGGCTTTCAAAAAGATTGGTCAGAAGCCGACATGACTACGCACATCTGAAACCCCAGCATTCAGACCTGAGGCAGGAGGATTGAGAATTCCAGGCTGACATAGCAAGACCCTCAAACATCTCCAAAGCAAGGGAGCCATCTGTTTCAGCCATCTGGGAAAGGGCAGTTGAGATCTCTCAGTTGTGTGGGCCACCTCTATATGAGCGCTTTGGAGGGCACGGGCCCAGAACCAGGGCAGATGCAGTAAAGGAACTGTGAAAAGTCAGGCTGTGCTGCAGGTTCAGGATTTAGGAACAAAAGTTGAGAGAGAAGGGAGGTTCAGATAAGTAAGGCCAACGTTGGGCCTTCTGTTGGGACTCAAGCCTTCTGAGTGAGAGGATCTGGGCAACAGCCAGATCCTGGTACTCTGGTACAACTGGTACTCTGTTGGAGGCCATCCTGTGGGCAGGGCCTCTACCCAAAGAAGATGTGTGTGCGTGTGTGCGTGTGTGCGTGTGTGTTTCTCCCCTGGCTGCATCTGTTCCCCATTCCATCCTCCATGCAAGGAACTTACTGTTGAACACAGGGTCTGAGTGTCTGCAGCCTAGATGCAAGCCCAGACCCCCTCAGAGGTGACAGACAGACACGGGAAGGACCTGGGCTGACCCACGTGCAGCTTTTTTCTGTGGGGATAGTAGCCCATACAGGTACATGTGCCCTGTAGTGCAGAGGGCACCTTCGGATCCAGGTGGACAGGGAGGGTTGAATCGGTGCTGATCCCCAGGAGGCAAGGGTCCTTCTCTTAGACACTGTGCTGCCTCCTGACCACTGTACTGTCAGATGGGCCTTGTCACCTCACAAGATGAGCTCATCCTCATGTTTAAGTAGATGATGGTGGGTGTTGAATCACTATGGTAATTAGATTTCCACTGCATACACTTAAAGAATGATGTCACCATTTTAAGATGTCAATATTTACATTATTCTGGAAACAATATTCTTTACAGCTACTTAAACTTGCGTAGAAATGCTGTGATGTTGACTTTAACGTGCACTGGGGTGTTGGGCTGGCTGGGGGCATCATGCAGTGGTAGATCCGTGACGTGGGCATAGTGTGGCTTGAGTGTCTCATTCCTCTGTCCAGTGGGTACCAAGGGCTGGAGGCCCTCAGGGAACTCAGGAAGCCCTGAGTTTCCTTGCTCAGCCGAGTGTGTGCTGTGCGTAGTTGTTGCTTCTGTGAAGTGAGGTGACAGGGCCCATTTGACAGTGAAGTGAGGTGATAAGGCCCATTGGTCAGGAGCCAGCACAGTGTCTCATAAGAAGGTACCCTCCTCTTCAGGGCATCAGGGGTCCTTCTTTAGGTAAGACTGGAGAGGGGCACCATGGGCTGAGACCAGTATAACAGATGGACCCTTTACCTGTCTTGCAAGCCACTGATGGCCACCAGGGAAGGCTGGCCTCCAACCTGCCTCCTTCCCTCACATTCCCTCTCTCTCTCTCTGTCTCTGCAGCTGGATCCTCAGACTGTAGAAACCAAGAACTGGCATACGGATGTGATTGAAATGAACGGGGTAAGGACTGCTGAACCACATGGGCATCCCCGCTGCCACCCTCCCCTAGGCGCTGGGCTGCCTGCACCTCCCTCAGACCAGCGCTCTCCTCTCCTTGGCTGCACCCTTCCCTATCCCAGATGCCGGTGTGTGTGGAGCCCTGCAGGCTTGGGGTGGCCCTGTTTGCAGCCTTGGCGGGAGAGGCCCTGTGTGCTGACACTCATGCCCTGGGGGTTTGTCCCTGCCCCACCCCTGACCAGATCAAAGTGGAATTCTCCATGAAATTTAGCAGCCGTGACATGAGCCTGAAGAGGACCCCATCCAAAAAGCAGACGGGCGTTTTCGGGGTGAAGATCAGCGTGGTGACCAAGTAGGTGCTGCCTTGGAGGCCACATAGCCGCCTCTCAGCCCCTCCCCGTACGGGCAGCTCAGTCAGTCACCACAGAGAAGTGGCTCCCAGGATGCTGTAGATACAAGCAGTCCAGCATGGAAACGGTGGGCAATCTCAGGAGCAAGCCAGAGTGTCTGTCCTGCAATAAACAAGTGACACTGACTGGGTCCACATTTGGGCTTGGCAGCTGTGAGCTGGAGTCACAGCCTGGCCGGCTGGGAAAGGGTCACACCCTCAAGGTCACTCTGCCCCTCTGGGCGCTTGGTTCCCAAGTCCTGACCCACCCTGGTCATAATGGATTAGCTGCTTAGCCTCCCCGTGAGGTTTCTTGTTTGTTGTTTTTCCTTTCCCCTTGAGCATTTTTATTCATTGTTTTGCTAGGGCTTGCACCCAGGGTCTCAGGGTTGTTACAGAAGCACTCTGCCACAGAGCTGCCCCTACCCACAGGCATTTGAGTCCGGTGGGATGTGCTTTCCCTTGTCTTTGAGCCTTCTCCCACCCATGCTCATGGCTGCACCTCAGCAAGCAGGCTTTAAGGAACGGGACAGCCCCTTCCCCGGGCCTTCCTTGCCTTGACTCCTGCTCCCAAGGGGCTAAAGCTGCACAAGGCTGAGGTGTGCTGTGGAGGAGCTGGAGGGCACGGCCAGTGTGAGAAGCTCCCTAGCTACCTCCATCTCCTAATCACCCGTGTCCTGTAGGCGGGAGCGCTCCAAGGTGCCCTACATCGTACGGCAGTGTGTAGAAGAGGTGGAGAAGAGGGGCATTGAGGAGGTTGGCATCTACAGGATATCAGGGGTGGCCACGGACATCCAGGCGCTGAAGGCTGTCTTTGATGCCAGTGAGTTGGAAGCCCAGTGGGCATGGGTGGTACCCAAGCAGCTGGTGGAGAGCAGAGAAGCCTTGGCCCATTCCCTGTAGTTTGTTGTGGCATGAAGGAGGCTGGCGAGGAGTCCTCTGACAACTTAACTCGTTCTGCATCTTGTCACTTAATCTCCCTCCCTCAGTTTCTTAACCACTGCTACAGCAAGGATGGCGTTCAGAGAGGTCAGGTCACTCACTGTGGGTTTCCCAGCTTGTAGGGTTTTGTACCTGCACTTAAATTAAGATCTTCTTGACTTCTGCTGGCTCAGGCTCCTCCCTGCTATCTCCAGGCCCTGTTCCTATGTGGCCAGTGCCTTCTGTGGTGGCACCTGACCTCGGTTTCCTCCTCTCCATCCGGTTGGGTCAGGCAGTGGTAGCACACCCAGTGCCCAGCATGTGTGAACTAGGCAGGCAGCAGTGAGTCCAGGTAGGGTAAGGAGAGGATGGGGCCTGAGAACATGTGATGCGTGGCTCCCCAGAACATGCGATTAGGTGTGTGCCCTGATACTGAGTGACAAGTTGTGCCCCTCCTCTCCTGAAAAATCATAGCAGATAGACCCCAGCCTGTGCCCTGCTGCCCTTTCCCACAGGTAACAGCTAAGTTGACATATAATAGCACTATCTATGTCCTACCTTCCTGGGGGGAGGGGGCGCTGAAGTGCCGTGGTAGAGGTTTGAGGGACTGAAATAGTACTGAGGGCTGCCACTGAGGAGATGATGTCTCAGGGCAGTGTGGCCTCCGACCTTGCTGCTTCCCATACAGATAACAAGGACATCCTACTAATGCTGAGCGACATGGACATCAACGCCATCGCTGGTACCCTCAAGCTCTACTTCCGGGAACTGCCCGAGCCCCTCCTCACAGACCGACTTTACCCGGCGTTCATGGAGGGCATCGGTGAGGCTTCTGGGGTCCTAAAGGTCGGTGGGGCTAAGTCTCCTAGACTAGTAAAATGGAAAGCACAAGATGACCCTGGCATTCCTTCAGTGGTTTGTCCAGTGCAGTCTCTGTCCTTGTGGCTGAAGGACGTGAGAGTGAGGTGCTTCCTGCTGAGGCCCAGTGCTGAGGTTGGACCCTTTCTCACCTGTTCCTGTCTGCGTGTGTCCTTTGTGGCTTCCCCTTACATATACATCTGCTTCCTGGAAACACAGGCATTTAGGGAAGAAGGCCCCAAGCTAGCAGTTCCCAGGGCTAGAGAGGAAGCTGGTTTACAGCTGGGGACAGCTATCCTGAGCTCCACAGAATGGCCCTCCTTGTTGCCCGAGTACTAGCCAGTGGAGCACCTGTGCCACCTACGTGGGCCACTTTCTGGCCTGGCATAGTGTTCCCATCTTCTCCTGAGACGAACAAGGCTTCCGAGTCCATAGAGAATGTGAAACCTGGGGTGTGGGGGTGGTCTGTTCAGTCTGGGCACCAGCATCCGAAGTGTGTGACAGAAAACACCCCCTCCTCTAGTAATAATGTGCATCTACTGGATTAAAGCAGAGTATGGGTTGGATGGCACTGGGGAATGGCTAGTGCAGAAGGGAAGGAAGCGGCTGCCCCCTCAGCCTACCTTCTAGCCACGTTACCGGTCACAGTGGCCCTCCAGCTAGGCCTTACCCTTTCTCCTTGCCCTTTCTCCTCCCGCAGCCCTGTCAGACCCTGCTGCCAAGGAGAACTGCATGATGCACCTACTCCGCTCTCTGCCCGACCCCAACCTCATCACCTTCCTTTTCCTGCTGGAACACTTGAAAAGGTAAGGAGAGGCAGGGCCCAGGCCAGAGCAGCCACCCGACTCAACTCCACCTCCTGGGTTCTGGCCTGTACTGGGTCACACACAGCAGCCTGAGCGGTGCTTTTTCCACCTCCTGAGCTCATGGTCTGTTGTTGAGAAACTGTGGCTCCTAGTTGCAGCCTAAAATAATTGGCACATGCCTACAGTCAAGATGCTCAAGCAGGGGGATTGCTTGAACAATCAAGAATAACCTGGGAAACGTAGGAAGACTCCTGGAATCTGGAGGGAGAACACAGATCCCAGGGCGGGTTTTAGTCTCCTACTTTGTCAGTGTAGCTTTTTTGTTTTGTTTTGCTTACATGTGTATTTTGTGCATGTGTGTGTGTGTGTGGCTTGCATGTGGAAGTCAGAGGACAGGTTGTAGAAGTTGGTTCTGTTATGTGGATTCTGAGGGCTGAACTCAGGTCGTCAGAATTGGCAAGGACCGCTGCGTCATCCCACCAGCCCAATGTAGATTCCCAGCTGTCTCCCCAGCGATGAGGACGTGCTTGAAAAGCAAGTGCTCTCCCACTGAGCCGAATCCCCAGCCCCACCATGTAGCATTTTGTAATGAAACAGGGCAGCAAAAGGGTGTGCTGCGGCAGAAGTGTACCCTGGATTATACCATTGCGTGCCTGTTAGGAGTTAGTCAAGAATTTGAAACCTACTGGTTTGGGCCCATACATTATAAAACAGGGAAACTGAGGCCCTGAGCCCAGCAGAGACTTGCTTGGCTTAGCAATGAAATTGTACTTAAAACCCACATCTTCCAAGTCCTACACTAAGACCCTTCTCACCTTCCCTCACCCTTCCCATGGTCAGGGCAAACCAGAACTGTTCAAGCTGACATTGCTCCGTTCACTGCTGAACTTAGGACCAGCATGTCATCACTCACTTTTTAGCCCAGAACTAATCGCAGACACCAGTTGGAAGGAGGTCACTTGGTGTCCCTTAAATCCACGTGTTGCCTTGGACCAGCACCTCTGAGCGCATCCCACCATCCGGGTGCTGGCTGTGGTCCAGCCAGGTCAGGCTCTGGAGGGCCAGCGGGGACCTAGACACAGCTGGTGCCTTGTTTTTCCCATCAGGAGACAATATCCCTCCCTTTGGTTTGGCCAGGACCAAAGCCCCACCAGTTCCCAGCTAGTTTGGTGAACATTGTGGGAGGACACGCTGAGGAGGAATGGGAAGGGAAAATTCATTAGGTTTTCCATCCTGGGAACCAGGCCCACATCTGGGTTAACGTGGGGGGAGGGGGGAGGCGGAGGAGAGAACTGGGCCCACATGTGTGTGTGTGTGTGTGTGTGTGTGTGTGTGTGTGTGTGTGTAGGGGCTAGCCAGCTGCACAGCACAGCTGCCTGCTGGCACTGCAATGTTTGCCTGTTTCCAAAGCAGTCAGCAGGCACATTTGTGACTCCTGCCTAGAGGGTGGAAGCCATGTTGGAGAGCAAGATGAGAGGCCCTGTCCAGGGGTTTTTGCATATTGAAGGCCCAGAGACATGTCCTAGTGTGGGGTCGGGGGGTGGGTATCCAGAATTTTGGTTATACTGAGCCTCCCTCAGACGGCAACTCCCACTGTCACTGATCTTTTATGTAAGAGAAGCAGGGAAAGTCTGGAAAGAGCCAGGGCAGGCCCATGAGCAGGCCATTCAGAGGCAATGGTGACTTCAGCTCCCAGACCTGCCTCTGGTTATGGCTAGTCCTGCAGCAACACTGCCTGCTAAACTGTGGGCTCAGCCAGCAGCTGCCTGTGGGCAGCAGGTCCTACCTGCCCTGCCTGCCTCCCCAGAACTGTACTATTGTTGGATTCTGGATAAAACACAAAATAGTAAGCATAGCTCTTGGGGAGACTGCTCAAGGTTCAGATAGCAGCTCTAGCACGTACGAGCTGTGTGACTGTGGGTAAGTCACTTAACCTCTCTGTACTTGGTTTCCTCACCTCTACAAGGGTGATGATACTTGCCTCAAGATGGCTGACAGTGTGTACAGTTTTACAGGAAGAGTTCTTAAAACAGTAGTATTCTCCATCTTGATCTGAGTCAAGGGTGATGCCATTGATAGTTGTTGGTCCTTCCGACTTGGCAGTATTCCATCAGCTTGGCAATAGCCTAGGAGCTGGAGGTATGTTACAGCAAAATGCTGGGACACAGCCGGGACCTCAGACATACAGCCTGATGTCCTTCCCGCCTATAGGAAGGGAGGCTAGGTGACGGCCCTTGATGTCCCTGAGGGAGCTTCCACAAGTGCCTTTAGCTTCCCCTCGTCCCCAGGCCCCTGGGGCTGCTGAGGAGTGACTATTTTACTTCCTTTCTCTCAGGGTGGCTGAGAAGGAACCCATCAACAAGATGTCGCTCCACAACCTGGCCACTGTGTTTGGCCCCACGTTACTGAGACCCTCAGAAGTGGAAAGCAAAGCACATCTCACGTCAGCTGCAGACATTTGGTCCCATGATGTCATGGCCCAGGTACTGCCACCACCCAGTAGGCCTTTGGGCAGTTCAAAGGCCTCCACTGCCCTCCTGGGAGCCGAATCCGTGGAATATAGGGTGCCCAAGAACAGGCTACAGAGCATTCTCCCTTCTCGGGCAAGACAATGTGTGACTCTGGACAAGGGTTAAAGAGTGTCTGTCCTGGGTTCTAGCAGACAGAGGATGTGGGGCTGGAGACCTGACCTCATGTATGAAAGCTCTGGGGTGTCTTTCAGGGTCAAGAGTCTCACCTTTAACACCCAGGGTGTCAACCCAAGCCGACCTCAGGCCCATGCTGAAAGCTTTTGACTTAGAAGTGGCTCCCTGACCCCTACCCTTGGCCCTGCAGCGCCCACTAGTGCTGTGACTGAGCAGAGGAGCCTGGTCTGCCAATAAGGGAGAAGCCAGAGTGAGCCTGGGCAGTGAGCTGCAGCCCAGGGACCATTTCTTCTCTGCAAGCAGGGGAGGGGAGGGTCTGAAAAGGAGGGACCCAACCTCGTCTCCCCGTCTCCCCACAGGTCCAGGTCCTCCTCTACTACCTGCAGCACCCCCCCATCTCCTTCGCAGAACTGAAGCGGAACACACTGTACTTCTCCACAGACGTGTAGCCCGGGGTGGGCAGCTGTGGGGGTGGCCAGAGGCAGCCCTCCAGCCGGGGCCCGACAGACTTGAAAGACTGCAACAGAACTCCCCAGCCTAGCACTCCAGAGTCCAAGGGAAGCTATCTTCCGAGAACTGGGACATGTGCGTCTTTTGTGCCACCTTGTACAGAGCCAGCCGACCACCCCAGCCATCTCGCCACACCCCAGCTCCTACGCTCCATACCTCGGAGTGTGTCTGATGCTCCATGCTGTCCAGGAATTGTTTTATGTATATTTGTCATGCAGAAAAGGTAGTGGCTGAGCTGCTGTGGACACAGTCAGCCTGCTTTGTTCTTTCATTTCTCCCAACACTTTTTTTCTGCCTGAGTCCAGTCCAAGGACTTTTATTTTGCGCTGTGTAAGTGCTGCCAGCTTCTCCTCGCCTGGCCCCGCTCCCAGATTGCAGCCTCCCTGCAGTCCCTGCCCTCTCCATCTTCCCAGCCTGCTGCATGCATGTGCAGCAGGGGCGTCTGCTCCATCACTGGAAACCTGCAGAGGCCCTGGGCAGTGGTGGCCTGATGTGCCGCGGGCCGCCCTCGGCCTCCTGGCTTTCCACCTGTGGAAGCACACCTGCTTTCTTTGCTGTCTGTGCAAATGTTGACCAAGGAGACAGACATACGCTAATCTCAGCACAGAGCTGGAGAGCTGATTTCTGGAATGTTCTATTTGAGAATTACCATTTCTGGGATATGTCTGTTCTGTCTCCTGCCTACCAGTGCGGCATCTTCAACTGTTTTCTTCTATTGCTGAATTTTCTGTTCCTTTTCTCCTGGTGTTCTCTTTTCTTTGAGTGTAATGACCCACAAGTGCCCTGCCATCAAGAGAGGTCAGGAAGGCACCTGAAGGGTGTGGTGGGCACCCAGGCTGTGAAGGAACAAGATGGGTAAAGCAGACAGCAGCGGCAAGTCAAAGGAAGCCAGTCTGCATAGTACAGACCTGCTGAGGCTGCCCTAGGGGAGCACGGCCTCCCGGGCGCCAACTTCTGTGGCTGAATCAGGTGTCCAGATGAAAAGCGGCTCTGTCCTGGAACCTGGAACCTCACATACCTCGTGGTACTTTTGCCTTAGATTTTACACTCTCAACAGCCAAGCACTGCCACGGGGCAGCCACATGGTCATGTATGCTTCAGAGCCTAGAAACAGCAGACACAAACAGGCTGGAATGGTCCTGCCCTGGCACTGTCCTCAGTTGTAAATTCAGGCCTGTGGGTAATCCCAGGTGTATGAGATAGGCCGCCTCTCTTGTGGGTTCTGCTGTTGCTCCGGAGCATGGGGTCAGCAGCTGTTATTCCCAGGTCTGTCACCTATTGCTTGTTACTAAAAAGGAGTTTTACCCCAAAGCACCATTTCCAGTCTGAGCAGCAACTACCAGCTGTGGCAATTAGGGAAAGAAAGGTGCTCCTGTCATTGGGGCTTGAGCTATCACACAGCTTCCTGTGTCTTCTATGTGGTAGACACAGCTTGGGGAGACAAGCTGTCACTGTGTATGCTCAGGGCTAAGTCTAAAGAATGGTTTGCTGGCCCCTCAAGCTCTTGTTTGCTGGGTGAGAGGCAGGGCTTTTTTCAGGTCCTGTTCATACTGTTGCCTTTGACAGAACGGTACAGTTTGTGCATGCAGGAGGAAGGAATGCCAACTTCCCAGCTGCCTGTTAGTTCAACAAGGAGCCTTGCTGCCTCAAACAGGTGAAAAGAGAATGCCCTTGAGTGTAAAGATCATATCACCCAGCCACCATCTGGCACCCGGGTATTGCTGGAGTGTGGCATTCTTGCTTCCAAAGGATTGACATCAAAACCCAACCGGAGCTGCTTGCAGCTCAGAACAGTGCCTCCTGTCTCTTCAGAACAAGGGATATTGGCTTCTCCGCATCAGCTACTGCAGACCCCATCTTGCTTAGGCTGTACAAAAGCAGGAAAGCCGGAGGAGCTGAGAATTACTAAAAGTTCCTATTATTTATAAATTCCACCACAAGTGGAGGGAGTCAGGTGCCAGACCTGAACTGAGGTGCACCAAGGAAGTATCTGGTGGACCTCTTGAGATCAGGGCCATGCAGCCCAGGACCCCCTCGCTGCCAGCAGGGCACCAGGAGACAGGGTCCGGTAACCTAGGTATGCCTGTACTTGCTTGGGCAATGACTGAGGGCTGCCAGCTTTTGCTGACAGGTAGGATGGGACCCCTAATAAGTTGGTATGGATATATTTTTTGTCTCTGTTCTGTTTAAACTTATGTAGATTATTATAAATTGATGTAAACCACGTGAGAGGGAAATGTTAATAAAAAACTGCAAAGCCTCATCATTTGCACAAAACTCAGCCCCGTGGTGTGGATGTTTGTGTTCTCAGTAGTCCAGGGAAGACCACCAATCTAAATATTTAAATCCTTACAGCTGCATCCAGATGTGTTTCCAGGAACCTGTTTATCTGTCTATCCCTGAACCTCCTTTTGATTTTGGGGGGACTCTGGTAGTTGGAGAAAGCCCTCCCTCGCTCTGTAAACACTTCTAAGTCACTGCTGCTGTAGTTCCCTTTATGGGGTACTCATTGTGGGCCTGGTCATCAGTGGGCCTGGTAAAGACGGCAGAAGTAGCCCATTGGCCTTCCACCAACTTGTGTTTTCCTTGAAGCTGGCATGTCTTTTATGACAGTCTTTGGTTGATTTGCTTGTCAGAGACCTGATCCCCCACCAAGCACCCACCCTCCTTTGGGAGAGCTAGTAGGGTTTATGTGGGACTTCACCAACCAAAGCCATTGGACACTGTTTATTCTGAAGATGGGGAACAGATGTGTCTGCAAATTGCTGTTTGGTTTGTGAGCTCATACCGACCCCCAGCCATCTAAAACAGGAAGCTATTCATCTCCTCTTGATTGAATAGTCTGTGGACAAGGCTTGGTTTGTTCAACTGATGTCTACTGACAGCCCTGAGGCTTTTCTTTGCCAAGGTAGTTGTGATGGCAACATTTCTTGTATTGGGGCTCATGTGGAAGACCAGTAGGTCAGAGACCTCGGGCACCTGAGCACTTTGAGCTACAGATAGACCGTGTCCTTACATCAAAGTGTTCCTAGATGAAGAATTTACAGACAGTAGAGGAAACACTCCTGAATTATGTTTTCAGAGCTCTGGGGTGTGCTCTTGTGAAATAGGGCAAGCATACAGAAGTCACTGGAGGTTAGAGGTCACAAATTGAGTGCCTGCCTAGCACGCACGAAGCCTTGGATTCTTTCCTCAGCAAATGAACGGAGAGGATGCACGAAGAGCACGAGCCCTGGCACTAACTCACACTCATGCCAAAAAGGTGGTGCTGTCGACTCGGTACCATCACTGTCATACAAAGGACACCCAGGTGACTAATGTTGCACGTCAGTCTTTGAATTCTGCTGAAGGATGAAAAGAAATGAGGGAGAAATAAGGTGGGAGGGTTACTAAATAGCAGGAAAAGGACTAACTGCTAGCTGGAGGCAGCCAGTTACAGGCCTTTGCTGAGCCTCCTGCGCAGCTGACAGGAGGTACGAACTGAGTCCATTAATTCCACCTGCGCCCACAAGCTACAGTAAAGCAGTCTGGTGGCACAGCCCAAACATAAGGCTGGATTTCTGCCACAGTGTAATTGGGCTAAACTGCTGGGGGTGGGCATAAAAGCAAAGAGAAGCTTAATAGAGAGCAGGGAGGTGGTGAACAGGCCTTCAGCATCTGATCGAGGCTGGTAGCTACTGCATGACTCAGCTGGCAGGATGACCACAGCAAGACACTCATGGATGTTTAAACTGGGCCGGGGCATGAGGCCACTGGTTCAGCAAGCCAGCATGACCGTCAGCCAGCCCAACGGGGTTCTCTGAGGAGGCAGAGGCATGACTGGTGACAAAGGTACAGTTTCCACAAACCCTGAGACGAACATTCTCTGAGTTCTGTAGAGGTTCTCCAATCTTTCCATTGCACTGTCACTCTTTGGGACACCTGGCACCTTGTGTGGGAGAGGTGGCATCTGAAAAACTAGCTCCTTTCAACAGTACATACGGCCTTTAAAGAAAAAGGGTATTTTGCCTGCATGTATGTCTGTGCACCATGCTGGTGCCTGGTGTCCTCAGAGGGCAGAAGAGGGCCTTGGATCCCTGGAACTTGAGTTACAAATGGTTGTGAGCTACTGTGTCAGGGCTAGGAACGAAACCCACGACCTATGGAGGAGCAGCCTGTGCTATTTGCCATTGAGCCATCTCACCAGCCCCCATATACATATTTTTAACAAGTATGGCAAAGATACTAACTGAAATGACATCATTACCTGAAGGCAAAGGTTTACTCTGCTCCGCCCTGGTACTCAGGACGAATGCTTGGACACAGTCTCAAGGCAGAGGGGCTTCCTGGCTGCGGGCAAACATACTGCCACCTCCTGTTCACAGCTGGAGAGCCAGGTGAGCTTAATTCTTAACAGGGAACACACTGCCCCCCTCCCCCGGTCTATTACTGCAAGGAGACAATCGGCATACCATCTCCCTTGAGAACCTCAAGGGAGGTTGAAATTCAGAAGTGGAAAAGTATGTCTGCCCCAGCAGATGGAGGTAGAGAACAGCAAGGTGGGTCCACCACACACAACTGATCTCGCCCCTGAAGCAATGCCAAGTGTGTGGAAACTGCTCCAAGGAACAGCTCTACAGGTGGCTGGCACCTCCGTCCTTTCAGGCCGTTTCTTTCACCGCAGGTAATAATCGATAGCAGCAGAGAAAGCAGCAAAACCTCCACAACCTATGGCCCCAGCCTTTACACCAGCTGCAAAGCAAACACAAGCAGCATTAGCACTCCAACGGGTGCTCGACTGGGCTGTACTTACAGCAAGTTTGCACCACAGACGCAAAGAAACCAATTTAAGCACATTAAATCATTCATGCCTCATTAAGATTTCAGTGAGCAACATACCCATCCAAAGCAGGGTGCTTCATCTAACGATATATTTCCTTAGTTTTTCTCATTCCAAACAGTTACCAATTGCAGTCGTTTGGAACTAGTCCCTCCCAGTCAGGAAACTGGTTGAGGGAAGCAGCCGTTGGAATCAAATGAAAGCATATGGCCTTATACCCTGGTCTGTTTATGGAATAAATTCCTGGGAAGGTGATCAAAGCAATCTGGGGGGAGCTAGGCTAACAGCCCTCACGAAGCTATACTATGAAGACCAAAGGAGAAGCCGCTCTGCCAACCAGACACGGCTGCGAGGGGCCAGTGCAGCCTTAATGACAGCAAGTCACTGCCTCTCAGAAGATGAGAGGCTTCTGCACTGGGAAGTGACTGTGAGTGATGGAGCAAGGCCCAGGAATACATACTGCTTCTAGGAACGTTCAAGTGCTTGAAGCCAATGCCACACAGGGGGGGGGGGGGGGGGGGGGGTGTCTTTCCTAGCTGATAACCTAACATTTCTAGAATATGTGCATTTAGCCTTCTTCCATCCCTGTCCTCCATTCATTCATTCATTCATTCATTCATTCATTCATTCACTCATTCACTCATACATCTATTTATCCCCTATTGATTGGTTTTTCAAGGCACGGTTTTTCTCTCTAGTCCTGGCTGTCCTGGAACTCAATCTGTAGACTAGGCTGGCCCTGAATGCAGAGATCTTCCCACCTCTGCCTCCCAAGTGTTGGATTAAAGGGTGTGCACCACCACTGCCTTTTTTTTTTTTTTTTTTTTTACGTGTATGTGTGTGGACACGGGTGCCTGAGGAGGCCAGAAAAGGGTGTTAGTTCCTCTGGAGCTGCAGTTGCTCGAAGCTGTGAGGGGTTGGGGAAATGAGCTCTGCAAGTATAGAATATGCTCTTAACCACTGAGCTGAGCCACCTCTCCAACCAGCCACATTGTTCCCCCAACCCCCAGACAGGGTTCCTCCGGGTAGCCTTGGCTGTCCTGGACTCACTTTGTAGACCAGGCTGGCATCAAACTCACAGAGATCCACCTGCCTCTGCCTCCCTGAGCGCTGGCTGGGATTAAAGGTGTGCACCACCATGCCTGGCAAAGTAACTTTTTCTTTCCTTTTAAAGCAAAGAGCCCCTGGCGCGTACAGGGATAGAGCCCTCAAACTTGGCATTCTTAGCACCCTGCTCTAAGCATCTGGGCTGGCTGGCTAGCTTGCTGCACTGGCTTTTGAGACAAGCTCTCTGGGCTCCTCCTGAGCGCTGGGCTTACATGCACACGCCACCATGCCAGTGTGCACTTAGCTTTCAGGGAACAGAAACCTAAGAGCCCCACCTGCAGAAAGACACAGCTGTCAAAATTCACATACAGGGGGCTGAGAGACAGCTCGGGGATTAAGAGCTCCTCTGGAGGTCCTGAGTTCAATTCCCAGCACCCACATGGCAGCTCACATCTACAGTGACATCTGGTACCCCCTTCTGTTGTCCTCAGACCCTAGGCACACAGTGGTCCATAGACATAGATGCAGGCAAAACACACATAAAATAAAATAAATCCACATAGAAATTCAAAGGAGCTGGGTAGCTCAGGAATGGAATTCATGCTTAATGTTTACAAGGACTTGGGGGTTTCTAGAACTGTAACACAAAACCCTGGCAACTGTATAAAATTAAGAAAAAAAAAAAAAAAAAAACGTTCAGACCCTTGAGACGCCAGGAGACAAATCTCAGCCCAGCCTAACAATGTGGACAAATGGACTGCTTGGCCAGAGTAACCGAGCTAGGCTTCTGTACCACCCTACATGCCAACATGGCACTTACCACAAGAACATGTCTCACACATGGAAACTTTTTTCTAGGAACTCTCTGCTTCCATGGTTGCGTGTGCGTAATTTCCCCACCGCAGGGGTCTTTGAACAGTAGGAGACACTTCTAGTTGTCCATCTAAAGCTCCTATGAGCATCTGGCCAGACAGCCTACATCACACACAATTCCATCCCACACACCAGCAAAGGTTTATCTGGGGGGCGGGAGACGGCTCGGCAGGTAAAAGATCACCTGTTCCTCTTGCAGAAGACCAGGTTTGGGTCCTACCAGCCATCTGCCTTACAACTGTCTGTGGTTCCAGTCCAGGGGACCTGGTGCCCTCCTCTGGCACCAGGCACATGTGGGACACAGACATACATGCAGGCAAAACACCCATACAAGATAGTTTTTTAAAAGAAAGAAGATTTTTATGTGGTCCAAAATCTCTGGAGGCCAAGGATAAGAAAGGCGAGTATAGCTAGAGATACTAGCAAGTTTCCGGAATCGAGTCTGCACAGAAGCAGCCAGGATTTATTTGTCAGAGGGAAGAACGGATCAAGCATCCTTGGAACACTCATGTTGGGAAATGTCAACATCAGCACGTTGTCCCAGACCACAAGAGAAAACCACTGGAGAGCTGTTTACTAACCTCTGAAACCAATGGCTCCGCCAGTGATGCAGCCGCTGATGACACTGTTCTTCCAGTCCGACTTTCCCCGGTACTGTGGGTGGAGAGACGCTGTTTAGAGCCAGGGAAATGAGCCAGACAAGGCGACAGAGGAAGAAAACACAGGGCTTCCAGCTGCCGAGTTTAGTCCTACTCTAAGAAAAATCCTTATTTCAAAAGGGCAGTTCCCAAAATTTGTATGTACTTATACATGTTTCCTGCAGGTGGCGCCAGAGGGCTGAAGTCAAGGCTAACGTATAACAAGTTTGCCAGTATAATATTTTGTTTGGTTGGTTTTTTTTGAGACAGAATTTCTCTGTGTAGACCTGGCTGTCTTGGAACTTGCTCTGTAGACCAGGCTGGCCTCATACTCAGAGATCTGACTGCCTCTGCTTCCCAAATGCTGAGATTAAAGGCCTGTGCCACTATGCCTGGCGTCTTCAGTATAATTTTAAATCATTACAATTGACCTGGATTGGGGATGTGGTCCAGTGGTTGAGCCCTTGCCTATTATGCATAAAGCCCCAAGTTCAGTTCCCACCGCCAAACAAATAAATTAAAAAAAAAAAAATCACTATTGCCTACAGAAGATTTTTTTTTTAAAGACAAAAAAACATTATAAATTTGTTAAAAGTTCACATTAGGGGCTATTTTCTGAATGAACAATCTAGATCAAATTTTGACAATTTTAAATGTTTGTTTTGAGGCCAGGTCTTTCTTTGTAGCCCAGGCTGGCCCAGATCTCATGATTCTCTGCTTCAGTTCCTGAGTGCTGAAGTCACAAACAAGGTCCACCTCTAAGTCTTGACATTTCTGATCTAAAGTCCAGGCAGAACACTAAGCATTGCTCTTTTAAAAGCTGTACTATGGACTGGGTGTGGCACATGCCTTTAATCCCTACACTCAGGAAGCAGAGACAGGTAGGTCTCTGAGTTCTAGATCAACCTCATCTACATAAGTGAGTTCCAGAACAACCAGGGTTACACTGTAAGACCTTGTCTCAAAAAGCAGGGGGTGGGAGCTGGAGAGCTGGCTCAGTAGTTAAAAGCACTGGCTGGCCTCCAGAGGACCCTAGCTCACTTCTGAAGACCCACAGGCCAGCTAGCATGTGGGTCTTCTAATTGTCCATCTACAGCTCCTATGAGCATCTGGCCAAACAGCCTACATCACATACAATTCCTCCAGTTCCAGGAGACCAGAGGCCCTCCGCTGGCATCCTCAGGCACCAAGCGTGCACATGGTGTACATGCAGACAAAACACACAAATTTATTCTTTAAGAGATTTTTAAAAAGTGTGCAATGGCAACAGACAGGGATTCCTTAGAAAGCAAGAGGCACTTACAGATTCTACCAAACACTCGGTGCATGAAAACATGGCGCCCACAATGGCAAAATTTTTGGCGTAGGACAATCCTCTCTGTCCCATGTCTTTCAGGACTTCTCTTGCAGTTGGTGTCCTGTAAGGGTCCTTAGGGTCAAAGCCTGCGTTGGTATCAATGCCGGCAGTGAAGACCCCAAATGCACCTCCCAAGACAAATCCTAGAGGCAAACAGACAGAAGCATTCTTTGGCACATTCTCTGCGTCACTGTTTGTGAATGATACTTGGAGGTGGTCATGTCTCTTGTCGCTCAGTCTCTATCATGCTTCCTCCACAGTACACAATCGCCCCACCCCCACCCCTCCTCTAGCATTTCTTCCTTTCACTTTCCTGTATTTCCGCTTTTTAACCCTCTGCTCCTCTGTAGACCGGACAACCTCAAATTTAGCTTCCAACTGTGTGTATCCTTGACCATGAATATCCATAACAGTCACTCTATCATATATCATGTCTTGGAATACTCTTTATCTTTCACAATAACTTGCGAGGTAGATGTTATTTTCCTCTCTTTCTGGACTTTTTGTTTGAGACAGGCTGTCACTATGTAATCCTGCTGGCCTGGAACTTGCTATTGTAGAACAGGCTAGCTTGAACTCAAGAGATACAACTGCCTCTGCCTCCTGAAGGCTGGGGTTAAACGTGTGTTGACACTGCCAGGCGGTGGTGGCAGCAAAAGTTAGAGACCAGCCTGGTCTAGAGAGCGAGTTCCAGGATAGCTAAGGCTACACAGAGGTGCCCTGTCTCTGGGGGGGGTGGGGGAGGAGGTGTGATACTACCACCCCGCTGTCCTCTCTAAACCAAAGCTCTGAAAGCTGAAGTAATAAGTGTCTCCACGGTCACGTGGCTATTACATGTAAACTCCTATGTTACTGTCAACAAATGACTTGTCTGAGCCTTGGACATTTCTTTGTGTGTATGTGGGTGTAGGCCAGAGGTCAATCCTGGGGTGTCATTCCTCAGGAACCATGCATTTTCCTTCCTTCCTTTCTCCTCTTCTTCTTTTGTTGTTGTTGTTATTGTTGGCTTTTTATCTTATTTTTTTTCCAGAGGGTTTCTCTATATAACAGCCCTGGCTGTCCTGGAACTCACTATGTAGACCAAGCTGGCCCCTAACTCAGAGATTCCTCTACCTGCTCTGCCTCTCCAGTGCAGGAATTAAGAGGCTTGTGCCACCTCATCCAGCCATACCTGGCTTTTTTACATGGATGCTGGCTACTGAACTCAGATCTTCATCTTGTGTGGCAAGCACCTGCCAACTGAACTTCCTCCCCAGCCATTTCTGTATGGACAGCTTCTCATCACCTCACTATAAATGAAGTTCAATGAAGCCAGACAGCCCTGGCCCCAGAATTTTCCTGCTTTCCAATCACTCCAAGCTCCAAAACTATCTCTTCTTTCTCCGACATTTTTTTACGATTTGTTTTTTTGGTTGGATTTTTGAGACAGTGTCTCTATCCTGTAGCCCTGGCCATCCTGAAATTCATGAACAGATGAGGCTGGCCTAGACCTCTGAGATCTGACCGCCTCTTCTTCACACTTTTTGAGATTTGAACTCCTGCTATTTGGATTTTTAAAAATGTTTTTCATTCCCAATATAATTTAATCTCATTTATAAATATAGTCAAACTTTTTATCTGCACATTGTAAGTATGTTTTATGTTTTCAAATCCCCAATGACTAATTTGTGTGTGCGTTTTAATGCCTTACCCCAGCTCCACACCAACTGCATAATCACACTGGCCTTCATTGTTTGAGACAAGCAGTCTCAAGCATGGTTTGAGACAAGCAGTCTGTAACCTTGGCTGTCCTGGAACGTGTATGCATGTGCGTGTGCGCGTGCGTGCGTGTACACTTATCGACCAGGCTGGCCTTGATCTCAGAGATCATCCCAACTCTGCCTCCCTAGTGCTGAGATTAAAGGCGTGTGCCAACACCATAACAGTTTCCAAACTCCTAGCTTCTCCCTTGAGGACCTTTACATGTGCAATTTCCTGTGTCTGCAGCATTCTTCTGCCAGGGTCTATCAGGGCTCTTGTCACTTTCAACCATATTCGTACTGCCTGGCACATGTCAGCTGCTTAGTAACAATTTATTGAATGAATGAACGAAAGCAGCTATTTAGCAATCCTCGGGCCCTGACTGTGAATGTTAACCCCAGGATAAAGAGGCATCTCCGGGTTCATTGAGTCAATCCGGATGCAATCAAGGTCGAGACCCACAGGTTCCTCCCCTCCCAGGCAAGTGGTCTTAGCAAGGAACCCTGAGGCCCTCCAAACTGTCAGCCACCCAAAGGTCCCACGAGCCTCGCCTCACCTCCCACGCAGGCCAGCACAGCCTTGAAGGCACAACTTTCCATCGCCCTCTCGATCATCTTCTGCTCCTCGCTCTTGGCGGGACTCGGGATCCCGCCGAGGCTGCCGGGCTCCAGGAGCCGCGGCTGCCGCTTGTCACCCACCAGGTACTGCAGAAGAAGGCTGTACTGCAGCGGAGCTTCGGGACCCGCCGCCTGTGGAGCTGGACTCCCAGCCTTGGGGGCGGCCGCCGCCATGGCCGCAGGGTCCCTAGGACCTTTCGCGTCCTACTTCCCACAGCCGATTCCGCACGCTTCTCTAGGAGTGCAGCCAGCGTAACCCAGCGGCAGATTCGCCACACGGAGGAAGCTGCAGAAACAAAAGTCGGCCTGTGCATCAGTGTCGAGGAAGCTATCATGTTTCCCCCAGAGCTTCCGGTAAACAGTGAGTCAAACTTTCAAGGCATTGCCGAAAGCACTGACAAACAAGATTCAGGGTCTCCAGAACAGCCCCTCAACTAGGGGCTCCGGTGCGATGCGTGCCGGGATTTGTAGTTTTAACTCAAACGTCTAACTACATTTCCCAGAAAGCAGTGCGCGCTCGCTGGCTGGGCTGCTTCGCCGGACGCTATTCTGGAGAGCTGCTGAAGAAGGGCCGCGCTCCTACGAGGCTGCAGTTTGTTAAGTGTGCAGCAGGGGGCGTGTGTGTCCGCTTTGTTGCCGGGCCAAGCAGCTGCGATCCTGCTACCTCAGTCAGCTAGGACTACATAGGCTGTTTGGTAGCCAGAGATCAAATAGTAGTGCGTGCTCTGTAAGTGAATGTTGAAACCTGGCATAAATGTGTCCGAAAGATATTTTATTATATAGTTATTAGGCCTTTGAGGAGAAAAAAGGGGCCAACAAAGGAGCTGAGCAGTGGCGGAGCATACCTTCAATCCCAGGGCTCAAGAAGGAGACAGGCCTGGAGTTTGAGGCCAGCCTGGTCTACAGAGCAAGTTCCAGGACAGCCAGGGCTACACAGAGAAACCCTGTCTTGGGGAAGAAAAGTCGGGGACTGTGGTCATGACAGAGTTGTGATTTTGGTCCACGTGAGGCAAAAGCTCAACCACTGCTCCACCTGCAGCCCCAGGCTGGCAATCTGTTTCACTGTCTTAGCTAAGAGGAACACTGGCGGAAAGAGGGGTAGAGGTGAGTGCTTGGTGTAAAATCCTATGTATTCTTCTTGCTTCTTCCTCCACCAGGCCCCCAAGGAAGCTAAGTTTAAGTTGCCAGTGGTTTCTTAGCTGCTGAATCTTTTACTAAATTTCTCAGCGGCATGTGACACAATGACCCCTTCTCTCCTTTGATGTTTTGTCAGTACTGTTAAAACATTACATTGTGTGGGTGTTCGTGCGTGCGTGCGTGCGTGCGTGCGCGTGCATGCACAGGCACCCACAGAGGCAAAAAAGAGTATCAGATCCCTGAAGCTGCAGTGACAGGTGCTTGTGAGCCGGTAGCAGTAGCCACCTGAAGCAGGTGCTGGGAACAGAATATAGCGTCTGGAAGAACGGCACATCCTCACTGCTTAGCACCTCTCCGACCTCTTCAGGTCTGACCGAGCTTCCTCTCCTACTTCTGTGGCGTCCTGCCAGTTGCTCTTGGGCTCCTTTGTGAATGACTCTGACTGACACTTCCCTGCTGTTCCTCCTGGCCCCGTCCTCTATTGATCATAAACACAGGAAATCATTTCTAAAGCAATTAGCCTGTTTAGTCACTTCTAACCATTCTTCCCAGTTCATGCTAAGCTCATAAGGTCAAAGTTGGATCTGAGAGAAGTCAAGGCAGGCTGCCAGGAGAGCAGGCTTTGGGAAACAGAGCGGTCTAAAGAGCTAATCCAGGAGTAATAGAGTCCTTGCCTATGATGCCTGGGCCATGGGTTCAATCCCCAGCATGGAGAAAAATAATAAAATGCCAATCCAACAATCCATTTAGAGAGCAATGATAAAACCCCAAAGGAAGAATCAGCGAGAATCAAGTCGCCGGGAGCCCCGGGATGGAGAAAATCCCAATGGACCCGGCTCACAAGGGAGAAAGACTTTGATGAAACCATCCTTAGCCAAGATTGGGAGAGAGCAATTAGACCCTGACGTGCTAGCTCCCATCGCCATCCAAAAGTGGAATAGGTTTCATCAGATGGAAAACTTGAGTCTCCTCCGAGTATACTCTAAACTGGAGAAATTATTTCCTGTGTTTGTTTTCCTGGGGATGTCTAGGGACTTTATCTGACCATGACATTGCTGTGAGATCCAGCACCTGTCAGGTTCTGCCCCTCTCCCCACATTGTCCATTCTGGCCACAGGGTAGAGGGTTAGGACCTCCGTAAATCAGAGTGAACTGTGGACAGTTAGAGATAAGCTGAGTTTACAGGGAAGATGGTGACACTGAGTTGATGACTTCTCCGTCAGATGACTCAAGATGGTGGCTCAGACGTCATGTGCTGAATTAAAAGAAAGCCTGATTTTGTCTTCCCTGGTGTCCATGAGACCCTGGCTGATCTGTAGTTCTCTTGGGTGCTGTCTGCTGTTGAAGGTGAGAAGGAAAAGAGATAGATTAAATCAGGATGAAATGAGAAAATCCAAGCTGGATGGGTAGCGGCTCACGCCTTTCATCCTGGCACTCAGGAGGCAGAGGCAGGCCATCTTTGAGTTCGAGGACAGCCTGGTCTACAGAGTGAGTTCCAGGACAACACTCAGGGCTACACAGAGAAACCATGCTTCAACCAAGAGAGGGGTCGGGAGGAGAGAGAGAGAGACAGAGAGACAGGGGCAGACAGACAGAGAGACTGACAAAGACAGAGAGAGAGAAAAAACAAAAAAAACAAGAAATTCTCTGTAGGCAAGTCTGTCGTGCAGTTTCCTAATTAGTGATGGATGAAGGAGGGCCTTGCCCGCTGTAGGTGGTGATGTCCCTGGGCTGGTGGTCCTGGGCTCTATAAGAAAGCAGTCTGAGTACTGAGTAAACCATGAAGAGCAAGCCAGGAAACAGCACTCCTCCATGGCCTCTGCACCAGCTCCTGCCTCCAGGTCCTGCCGTGTTTGACCTTCTGTCTTAGCTTCCTTTGATTTTGGACTGTCATGTGTGGAGGTGGAATAAGCCCCTTCCTTTCCAGGTTGTTTTTGGTCGCGATGTTTTATCACAGCAGTGGAAGCTCTTACAGATGGCCAGCGCCTTTACCCGCTGATCTGTCTTGCCAGCCCTGATTTATGGATTTATCTTTGCAGCGCTGGGCGATCGAACTTAGGCTAGCATGAGATGCAAGAACCCTACCACTGAGCTACCCCGACCTTAAAGATTTCTGAATCTTTTTTTTTTTTTAAGACAAGGTTTCTCTGTGTAACCTTTGCTCTCCTGGAACTCACTCTGTAAAACAGGCTGGCTTCAAACTTATAGAGATCCACCTGCCTCTGCCTCCCAAGTGCTGAGATTAAAGGAGTGTTCCATGGCCGACTGGCAATATTTATGACTCTTAAAGGTGGCATATATTTGTTCTCTCTGTGTTTTGAATGATATCCTATGCCTCCAACTAATTTTTCAAAAGAAATTCATACAGATCTTTTACCAAATCAGGCATGTTGTGTTTTGTTTTGTTTTGTTTTTTAGTTTTTGGTTTTTGGTTCTTTCGAGACAGAGTTTCTCTGCATAGCCTTGGCTGTCCTGGACTTGCTTTGTAGAGCAGGCTGGTTTCGAACTCACAGCCATCCACCTGCCTTTGCTTCCTTGAGTGCTGAGATTATAGGTGTGCGCTACTGCGCCAGTCATGCTGTGGCTCTCTTTAACACAAAATTTAAGATTTGTATAACACAATTAGTTAAAACCTGGATGGGAAAGCTTCTTCAAATGGCTCTCTTCTACCTTGTACAGAAGACAGTGGTGTTTCCACAGGCCAAAGGACACTGACTAATTCTTTACAGGAAGCCAGACGAGTCTTGTTGGGCTTCCTGTAACAAACCCCCACTGCAATTGTGAGTTTGGGATCATTTCCATTGAAAATCCCTTCCTTCCACAGCCTCAGAAAGCCAGCTGCAGGCTCTGGCTTCTCACCAGGCACGCTGCACCAGCATTTCTCCAAACTGTATTTATATTTCACGTGCAGTATGTTCGAACTCTCACTCTCCACGTGCCAAATGCTGTCTTGGCCACACTCCAGTGGAAACTGCTTTCCTGTAAAATAATGAGAGGAAAATGCTGAGCAAATCACCTCTCCACATTACGCTTGCACCCAGCTTACCAACTTTAATCACTCAATAATGACTTCCCTGTTTTCCCCACTTCCGACCTTCCTGGAGCCCCTCTTCACCCTTTTCCACTCTGTTCTTTGGCTCACATAAGATGCAAAGGCTGATAGTTCTTTTACATTTCATTTCTTGAGACTGGGTCTCACTCTGTAGTACTGGCTGGCCTGGAACTTGCTACATACATCATGCTGGCCTCAAACTCACAGAGATCTGCCTGCCTCTGCCTCCTGAGTGCTGAGACTAAAGGTGTGCCCAACCATTCCTGCCTTTCTTCCACATGTGTTTAGAAGTTGTCTGGTGAGTCTAAGTATAGATGGCTATCTGTCTGACAGGCTTTCAAACAGGTGGAAGAAAGCACATACCCACTCAGGGACATTGTAAATGTGACTCAGGTGGGAAAATAAAGCATGTTAACTCACTCACGAGGTTTATTTTGAAACAGAACCTCCCTCTGTAGCACATGCTGGCCTGGAATTTAGGATCTGGGTTTCAACCTCCCAAGGGTTGAAGGGTTGGGACTGATTACAGGAATGCACCATCACATCCATGCATTTAAAGCTTTAAAAACAGGATTCTAGAGGAGAGATGGCTCAGCATGGTTAAGAGCACGAGAGAATTCATGTTTGGGTCTCTATACTCACATGGGGTAGCTCACAATGCCCTGTAATACTAGACACACACGTATGAATATGACTTGTTTTTTTTTTACTTAGTGTTTTGAGGCAGGGTGTTGGCATGGTTATTGTAGACCAAGTTGGCCTCAAACTTGGCCAACCTATTGTAGACTAAGTTGGCCTCCTGAGTGCTGAGATTAAAGGCGTGAGCCACCATTTCTGGTACCAGTGAGTAAAGATTGCCAGGCCACGTTGCCTTTGTCTTAATGACTTTCACTGGTCTGTGTGATGACATTTTACGGAGCTAAAAACATAAACAATTCTTCCTTCTACCTTAAACACATTGAGAATCTCAGGGCATTTGAAGCTTAACGTTATGTTCTGAAGTTTAAATGTTCTCATGTCACACACTTTCTGGTGGTGGTGGTGCTGGGTGTGTCATGTAGTGAGGAAGCCGGTGTAATTAAACTATCCTGCCTTCAGCTCGTTAATCTTTTGCACCTTATGTGCTGGTGGAAGTTTTTTCTCTTCCACTCTTCCATTAGATGGCGGCAGAGGCGAAAGAAATAACGCCCAAAGCCTTGGGGTGGGGGGGGATGGCCAGTGGTTGGGTTTCCTTTTTAAAATGTCAGTTCTTGGTAGTTGAGCTGATACACATCAATGGTTCTCTTTTTGTCTGTACGTATGATTGTGTGTGTGTGTGAGAGAGAGGGGGGGGTGGGTAAACAGTTTGTCTTGAGTGTGCCTAGGAGTAATGAGGTCAGGAGACTTGCCATAGAGCACTGTTTAATGAAGGTTCTTCCTAAGCATTGGAAAGCATTTTTCAAGATGGGGTTAAAAAAAAAAACAAAACAAAAACCCTTAGACTTTCACAACTACCAACAGACAGACCTGAGATAAGCTATGGCGCCGATTAGGAGAGCAAGGAGAGCAGCCAGCTCTGATTTGGAAACGCTGCGCCATCTGTTGTATACATTTACGGAAATGGAAGAGAGCCATTTCCCATCGGGGAACGGTTCCAGCGACCCGTGGACTGAAATCCCACCCTGCGACTTACAATCAGCCCACAAAGTATTTATGAATCCTCTCTTGTGCCTGGCGTAAGAAACAGAGAGGTGGCGCCCAGCAGTCTACTTAGAGTAGCAGGCACAAAACTCACAGGGCTGCTGAGCAAGAGCTGGCCTGACACAGTGACACTGGACGGCGAAGACGTTACAGCCTACAAGTTTTCTCTGAGGTCACTGGGGTTCAAAATAGCTTAAAGGTCGGTATAGGGAAGGGAGTAGGAGAGTCTGAAAAAGAGGAGCGTGTCCAGAACTCCAGTGCGCAGCGGATTTAGAAGTGGAAGATGAGAGGAATCAGGGAAAGGGGTGCGGCTTCGCACGGTTTGCAGCCTCGGAAAGCGCCACTTCCCGGGGCCGTTCTCCGGCCTCAGGTCCGGGCCTTCTGGTCCTGGGGTAGAACTCGGGTCGGGTGTCTTACTTTGGCCACGAACCGGAGGCCCGCGCCAAGGCGCCAGCTGCCGCGGACCTGCCCGCGCAGCGCGGCCAGCCACGGAGGGGGCGTGGCCACGGAGGGGCGTGGCCGGGCGGCCCGGTGGGCGGGGCTCCCCTCCCGGCCTCCGCCGCCGCCGCCGCCGCTGCCGCCTCCGCCCGCCGCGCGGACCAGCGAGCCGGGTAGCTGCCGCGAGCCCACCCGCCCGCCCGCGTGCCGGGGCTGCGGCGGGCCAGGATGTCGGTCTTCCTGGAGGAGCTGCTGGGCGACAAGCTGGTGACGGGCTGTGGCGAGGAGGTGGACGTGCACTCGCTGGGCGCCCGCGGCATCGCGCTGCTGGGGCTCTACTTCGGGTGCAGCCTGAGCGCCCCCTGCGCGCAGCTCAGCGCCAGCCTGGCCGCCTTCTACGGCCGCCTGCGAGGGGACGCGGCGGCCGGGCCGGGGGCCGGGGCCGGCGCCGGGGCGGGGGCGGCCGCGGACCCAGAGCCCCGGCACCGCCTGGAGATCGTCTTCGTGTCCTCGGACCAGGACCAGCGGCAGTGGCAGGACTTCGTGCGGGACATGCCCTGGCTGGCGCTGCCCTACAAGGAGAAGCACCGGAAGGTGAGTAGCGCGGGCCCGGCGGCGCCCCCGGCCTGCAGGCGCGGTCCACGCTCCGGGAGCCAGCTGCTCGCCGCCCCCGCCCGCTGTCCCTAGGCCCGTCCTCTCTGTCTCGGCGGGCTCCCTCCTCTGCCCCATCCAGGACCCCGCCGGGTTGAGGCGCTCGCGGCAACTCCTGGGTGCCAGTGCCCGGCTGCGCCCACGCTGGGAAGTTTGACACCCCTCGGGTCCTCGCGTTGGGAACCGCGTAGGGGTGGCCGTGCTCTGTGCTCCCCGCTCCACGACCCCTATCGCCCTCCTTTAGCCGCCTGACTCCCCGCAGATACCTGTAGTGGGGGAGGGCACGAGCCCCCTTCCCATAATGCCCACACCAGGAAGTTTCCTTTCTTTCCCAGAGAAATCTTGCCTCCTGGGGCCCCCTCTTCTGTGGCCGGGACGCGGAGGCGGCTCCTGACGGCGGGCTTCAGGAGAGAGGGGCGCTCACCCCTCTCCCCCTTCTTCCCTTGCCCCCGCCCCGCCCCCTGGGCTGAGTTAGTGGCCACCGGGGAGCTTTTCATTGTCTGGCTGTCCAGCGGTCTTCCCAGGCCCAGAACAGCCTCGTCCTTGTAGTTTCGTGGTGGGCCGTTTGCTGTCTTGGCAGACTTCGAATTAGATGCACAAGTGACTCCATCGGTGCAGATGAATGACAAGACAGCAAACGGCCAGTTTGCGGGTGAGGTTAGTTTGGGTTTCTGAGTCTATCTGTTGGGTGAAGACGTCGTTTTCAATAAAGCAAGTTCAAGACGTGGTTAACAGGAAAAAGTTTTGGCGTGCCCTTGCTTAATTCGCATGGCTCATGCAATGTGTGAACCCGGCCTGTTCGTTTTCCAGGGAGCATCTCAGTTTATGGGGCACACAGGAGAAAGGCTAGTCCAGGGGCATTTAGGTTCCTCCAGGGAGGGAGGTAGCACACGCCACGTGTTCCTTTAATCTGTACAGAATCATGTTGAGACGAATGATTTAGACCTAGAGCAAAAAGGCTTATCATTTGACTCCAAAATGTCTTGAGTAAATCATTCATCCCAAAGCAGTGGAAGGCACAGATGAGAGATTTAAAGTTTGAAGCAGTTAAGAAATACAGTTAGTAAATTTAATATTGAGAAAACGTTGGCCCACTAACCACACAGAAGCAAGACTTTACATCTTAACTATTTTTTTCAAGCTATTACGCCCCTGTCTTTCTTATATGCCTTCCAGGGTATGAATATGCATGGCTAGAACTTTTTTTGGTTAAAATATATGGGAATACTTTGTTTTCTTTTTGATGGTGGTTTTGATGATCCTTTTAGAAAGAAATAATGTTCAGAAAGTCATTTATTGAAAAAACATTTTCATCGTCATGGCATTTTTCTGTTGTAGACTAAAGTCTGTTTAAAATAATATCCTTATTGCGCAATACAAATTATTTCTAGATCTTGAAAATACAACGAATGGCAGAATGTTCCAGACTTATGGCCTATTGTAGTTTTTACAGAAGGGGGAATTAAATTGCTGGGTAATAAAAATATGGAGCAAACTGAGATGTTTTGGAGATGTCTAACCCTTTTTCCCCAAAAAATAGGAGTATATTTGATATGACAGAGGCTTTCCCTCATGGATAACACCTTTTGTGAAAGAAAGTGTTCTATAGTAGCCCTAGCCTGGTCCAGCTGGTCCTTCTCAGATGAACCTTTGGGTGACACAGGCCAGTAGACTCTTACTTGGAAATACAGTTCAGAATGCTGGATGTGCCTAAATCGCAGGCTAGCATCTTAAAACATGTATTTTGATTTTATTTACTCATTTCTGTATTTATTCATTCACTTTCTGTATTCACTCCCTATAGTTCTTCTGAATCTTTTTTTTCTTTTTAAAATAATTTATTTCATTTTATCTTATGTGCATTAGTGTGAAAGTGTCAGACCCCTTGGAACTGAAGTTACAGACAGCTGTGAGCTGCCACGTGGGTGCTGGGAATTGAACCCTGGTCCTTTAGGAAGGACAGACAGTGCTCTTACCCACTGAGCCATCTGTCCAGCCTGCATTCTGTTTCTTTAGAGACAGGTTTTAGAAGCCCTCCTGTGCTGGGGACTCAGTGTCTGACCCAGACATGGTACAAAGGCCCCAGATGGGCTCACTGTAGAAAGCATTCTTGGAAATGGAAGAGGGAATGTCCTCACTGTGGAAGGGGCTGCTTCCCACCTTGAAACCAAAGAGGTGTAAAACAGTTCCCTTCGATGACCAAGTTTTTGTCTTCTGCAGCTTGAAACTGGGATACACGGAAATCGGTGAGCTCACAGTATCAATTTCACCCCAGGAAAAGTGAAAAGAGGGGGTGCCCCAGTCCAGGCACTTGTGGGTCAATTTTTGTTGATGGATCTGTCTCCTTAGCTATGAAAATAGCTTTAAGGAAGGGCATTTTGTTTTATACTGGGGGAAAACTGAAGTTCCAGATTACTTTTTTTTTTTTTTTAAGTTCTCATTAACATTTGGTCTTGAAAACCATTTGTGTGTTTCTTCCCATTGGGATAACAAAGGATATGGTTCTAATTAGTTACTGGCTGGCATTTCTCTACAGAAAATTGAAAAATGATGGCGGGGAAAGAGAATGCTGTGTGGTATTTCTCTTTTTCTTCTTTTATTAATTTCTCCTTTATATAGTAAGAAAGTCTAGGGACGGCCGTATATGTTCAGCTTGCCTTTTGCCTCGCTCCCTCACCTCAATCGGAGCTGTGAGAAAACTCCAGGTAAAAGGCGCCGGTATCTCTGCCCCCACCCCGCCCGCTTTACTTCTTTATGGAAAGTTGTCTTTCCTGTTTCCGTTTGTTCTAGTGGTAGGTCTAAAGTAATTGAAGCTTTTCTTTTTCCTCCCAGAACACACACAGTATTATATAGCTGTATAGAAATCGTAATTAGATGATAATCAAACTTTGAGTGCGTCTCTGGGAGAGGCCCTGTCAGGAAGCCTGTAATCCTGATGTTAAGGCGGTTGGGCTTGTTTTAATAAGTAGGCTGGTGGGCATTTTTCAGATTTCTGGAGAGAGAGAACGTGATGAACAGTTGGAAATTGGTGATGATTTAGACTTTTGGATCTGAGCTGTCTCTTTAGATGAATCAAAGTTAATTGTTGGAAGTAGAGGGTCTGGCTCCAGGACCTACTTAACCCTGTCAGGACGGAGCAGCAGTGCGTGCGGCTTTAAAGACACAGGCCCCGGCTTTGCCTAGACTGGCTGTCTAGTGAAAAGCGTTTGCTCATGGGTGCTCTGACATGAGCGGGTGGGTGCAGGCCGCAGACCACTCTCTGCACAGTGTGCTAGGCTGAGACTTGGTCTGTGATTTTCTGAGTGACAGAGAGGGCTGGAGGCAGTCAGGATGGGAAAGCTTTAGAGGTGGGTGGGGACTCCGCCCAGCTCCTTCTTTGCTTGTTTTGGACAGGTAAGTGCAGTCGCTGTGCAGCCGTCCTGTGAGGGCTGCCTGCTCTGGCTGCTCTGGAGGGCTCTTTTGATGTAGACTGAATTAGAGCCGTGGCCTGGACCTCTCTTGAATCACTTGGGCACTTTGGAGGTGACAAGATCTGCTTGTCCTGTACCAGCCCAGTCTTCAAGCTCCTCTCCCTGTGCCTCAGCTGGTGAGAGAACTGACATGTGCTTCTGGCTTTGCGTCTTCCTCGCTTTCAAGACAGTGAAAGATGCCAAAAAAGATACGGCTTTGAACGTTGAAGCCTTTTGCCTAGTTCCTAAAGAGCCTCAACCAGCCAGGACAGGCTCTCATTGGGGACTGTATATCCATTTGAATCAGTCTAATAAAAGACAACAGTCTGATTAAAGCAATCAGAACTGTATTCCTGGAGAGGCTTTCCTGTCTTTCATTATTTATAATGTGTGTGTTAATCTTATCTTCTCTGTGTAATGAAATAGTCTTGTGGCTAAAAATCGAAGTTCTTTGGTCTTTTTTTTTTTTTTTTCTTTGCCTGAGTTCAGGTCCTGGGCCTATCATTAGCTGTGTGTCATTGTGAAGTACACTCTGTAAAATGGGGATAATAGCATCTGCCTTGTAGGATTGTGTATGGTCTCTGTGATATACATGTGCCTGATGTAATGGAACATGCTCAATAAACACTGCTATCATTTATTAATAAATTGTTACAACTTTGAGTAACCCATTATAATGTCTGATCTTTGGAATATGTCACATCACAGAATTGCAAACCTGTTGTGAGATCTTTCTTTTTCTTCCCTTCCTTATTTTTTTTATCTATCTATCTATCTATCTATCTATCTATCTATCTATCTATCTAT